GTACCGTCCGCCTCTGTGCCCGGATTCGCTTCGAGGAGGGGGGCCAGAGGAGGACAGGGTACCGATACCGCTTTCCTTTTCTCGGTCTCGCCTTTAAGTCCTTCTGGGGGGCTGACGTCGTCACCGCTGGGTTCGCCTCGAAATTCTGGTCAGAACGCAACCGGGGAGAGGTCTGGGGAGTAATGGTATGACGCTTGGAGGAGGGGGGGTGGGGGATTTGGATTCGAGTTCGGAACGAGTTCGAATCAGTATCCATCAGACTATATCTCTAGGCCTCCCAATTGGGGTCCGAGTAAGTGGGCTTGACGGATCGCATCGCATCGCCGATGCATCGGCGATGCGGCCCGATGTGGAGCCAACATTTCTCCACGTCGACATTGCCGATACATCGCCGACGATCCATCGCCGACGATGCACCGCCGACCCCATCTACTCGGATCCCATTTGGGAGGCCGAAAAGTTAGGGACAAGACCTGGTTCTGCGCTGCCTGGGTACTTTGCCCGCGCCATCGAAGTTCTGTCAGGCTCACGCGGCTTTGCTAGGGCTCGGATGTGAGGGAGGACCCGTGCTTAGGAGTCACACACACACACATGACGCATTCAGATCCTGAAGTATTGGTGGGACATTGCGGGATTGAGACTCGAGAGCCCACCCGCCCCCGAGGTGAATTTGATCCCCCCTCTCCTTCACCTCCTCCTCCCTCCTTCTCCCTGCTCCTCCCTCCTCATTCCTCCTCTTCCCCCTCCTCCTCCTCCTCCTCCTCCTCCTCCTCCTCCTCCTTACTCCTCCTCACTGCACTGCAGCTGATGCAGCCGCCGCCAAGCAGAGCTGGAACTAATAGTTGGAGTTGGCGTTTGCCAACGGGGCCAGCCTGGCCCATCGTTTTTCGAAGGGCCCTAAAGGGGCCACTGCCGCTGACCTTGCCCAGGGGCTGCCCGTGGTTGGTCACGAAGCTCTGCAGGAAATGCTGAAAGAGTAGTCTAGTCTTTGGGTCGTTCCCGCCAGGTCTGATGAGCCCCACCCCTTGGATTGGGATATGTCCCAAGCCGAGCCACTGCCTCAGTTCACGGACGACGATGTGAAGGCGGTGCCCAGCACATTTAAGAGCAAGACTGCTCTGGGCTGGGATTGCTTCCATCCGAGGTGGGTGGAAAGACTTCCGTCGGTCCTCGTTTCGACCCTCACCCTCCTCCTCCTCCTCCTCCTTTCCAGAATCCTGAGGTCACAGACGTTTGGCTGACCCTTAACGTTTTTCTGCCTAAGGTCACGGGAGGAGTGCGGCCTCTAGGCCTGCTCCCATTCTTCGCCCGTCTCTGGTCTCGGCTCAGGCACCTCGTTGTAGCCAAATGGGAGTCCACCTCGGCTTGGATTCACAATGTTCTAGCCAGCGCAGCCCCAGAATTTAACTTCGTTAGTGCGACTGCGTTCATAGACCTCAGGACATTTTACGAAGTGGTGTCGCATTCAGGGCTGCTATGTGCGGCTCGGGGTACTGCTTTTCCTGAACATCTTCTGACGCCGCTTTGCGCTTTGTGCAGAGGGCCCAGAAGGGCCTCCTAGCAGAATTCCACCTCGCACAGGATCTTCGCCAACGGGGCAATTGTCGCGGGCTGTTCGTGCGCCACAGGACTAGCCAACTTCATGACGGTGACTTTGCTTCGACATGTTGGGGCTAGGTGCAGCTCCCTCATAATTAAAAACTTGATCGACGACATCCGTGTACACAGTCGGGGGGCCGCAGACGGTTGCTAGGGAGCTCAGTTTCGCTGTCAAAGAGACGGCGGGCTTGCTTCAGGCTTGAGGGTTGCCGTTGTGTTGGGGTAAGGTGGTTTTCTCTGTGTAGCGACGCTGAGACGTTCAGCCTGATCGAGGATGACGTTGCCGATTTATGGCCCGCTGGAGTTCCATTCCCAGGTCGGGGTACGTATCATCGAGATCTCGGGGGTGACGCTGTTGATGGGCGTTGCTGGTGGATAGGCACTCAGCTCACGCGTATACGAGATGCTAAGGCTAAAGGGGGTAGGCTGGCGGCTCTTAAAGGTCTTGGAAGGCAGCGCTCAGCAGTACACCGTTCTGGGGTACTTTCTAAGGCTCTATGGGGGGTGCTCTATCGCGGGGCTGCCCAATAGCAGGATCCAGCAGCTCAGGATGTCCTTCCTTAGCGCGGGTGCTCGGGTCAAGCCTGGTGCCTCAGTGGTCCTCTCTCTTATGAGTGCGGGGAATGGCTGGCACAACGATCCTTTGGTTATCGCAACTTCCGGTGCCATTCGCACGTACCTTCTGATCATGCCCACTGGGACGATTATCACATCTGTGGTATCTGCACTCATGGTCTCGGCGCTTCCTCTGTTGGACGATCTCCAAGCATGGCTGAAACGCAGGAACCCCATTGCAGCGCTGATGATCAGCTTGCACAGGATCTGTTGGAAGTAGCTAGGCCCTTTCACTCTCTTAGACGATGAAGGTATCTCTTGGGACCTCAAGCTCTACTTTGCTAGTTGGATTGTTCATGCTGCCAAGCTTGGCGTTCGACGTCAGATCGACCGCGATGCTCTCACTACCTTGCAGGGGGCAGGCACCACGAGGACGGGGCCGATAGCCTGGCAACCGATCTCCGAGTCTCTGCACGGGAAGCGGCTTGCACCTCGCGGGCGCCGCTCGCTCAGAGGTGTGATCACGGGAGGTCATTGGACGCAGATTCGGATTGCTCGAGCCTTTGCAGGTCACTCCTGCACAAGATGCCAGGCGGCGCCAGGCACGCTGTTTCATCGCTTCTTCGCGTGCGACGCCTTCGCTGCTCAGCGCCAGTTGCTTATCCCTTCTGAAGTCCAAAGGGCAGCGCAGAGGATGCGGAGCGAGCCCGGGGACAGGCAGGATCGTTTCGCCCGTGGTCTGCTCCCTCACCCAGGCCAAACGTTTCACGGCGTTGACCGCTCCAGCCGGCATGATATGATTGATGTAGATCGCAGAGGGGTGACGTTTGTGAATGGAGGGCACGTGTTCGTGGCCGGCAGTGCTTTCTCGGTCCGAGTGCCTGAATGATGTTCAGCAGGTTGGGCAGTCACGGTCTACGACTCCGACAGGCGGCGAGTGGCCAGGTACCACGGTGCGGTGCCGCGTTGTGAGCGGCCCAGTCAAGTGGCTCGCGACGGTGAGGACTACGCGCTCTTGAAAGCAGGCGAGCTCGTCATGGGATCTTTCTCGGTCAAGTCTGATTGCAAAGGCTCAGGTGGCTGTTGTCACCGCTTGGCGGCGGCTTACGGCCCAGGCAACTTGAGGGCGCACCCGTGGAAACGGACGGCTCAGAATGATGATTTCTGCAGGGCGCTTGTGTCTCATGTCAAGGCGCGCGCCAGCATGGCGGACGTCAGGGAAGGCGTAGCCAGCCAGTTCGATCGAGCCCTGCAATGCGGAGGCCGATGAGTTGGCCACAGCTGGAGTTTCTTTTCGCGCGGCCTCGGGCGTGCAGGAAAGATTCGTTCGTGGCGCCATGCGCCTTCGCAAGATGCTGCTGTGCTACATCGCCAAGTTCGAGGTGTGGTTCCACGAGCAGGTTGAGGAGTTTCGAGATTGTGCTTTTCCCGAGCCTGAGGAGGACATCCTGGCCACGCCTCAGCAGGGGGCGGCGGCGAGGGAGCCTCTCTTGCCATGGCCTTGGTTGGTCCAGAAGCACGCTCTCCTGGAGAGCCCTGTTATCGGTCACGACCGCTCGCTGGTATTCTGCGCCAGTTGTTGCGAGTATTCTGACACTGGAAGTCTCAACCACCGAGGGTTGGATCAGGTCTGTTGTGGTAGAGAAGGAGGCAGTGGCAGGATCGTCGAACATACTCGGCACTTTGACCATCTTCGGCGTCCTCAGTCGTTGCGCAAAGATATCTCACTTTTTTATGCTCGGCGGCCTTTGCCAAAGTCCGGGCCGTGTTGTGCAAGTCGAAAGGTTGGATGGGGCCCGCTCAGCGGCGCGCTTGAGGTGCGCGCTGAACCCCGGCGTTATTTGGGCACCACTGCTATTCTCAAGGACCACGGTCTATTATACCCTGAAGCTCCGGGGTTGGGAGCTCCGCGTGAATCTGATAGCGACGACGACGTGGGCCCAGATATGGTCTAGTTTGATGGCCCCCGCCAGGTTCCCGCCAGCCGGTGGGCCTGTGGCAGGCGAGCCGTCCTGCCAGCCCTTGCGATTTTTTTAGATGCGGTGCGCGTTGGTGGGCGGTCGGTGGGCCAGTCTGACTTTCTTGGGCTTTTTTGAGTCCGACGAGCTATTCGAAGATATTGATGGTCTGGTCAAGCACGTGCCGTGGCTGGAATCAATCAAGGCACCTTGGGCGGCGCAGCCGCGTCAAGTTGATCGTGGCAGGCCTTCATTCTGTACGGGTGCGGTGCTTGGTCTTTTGTGGTGTCTGGCCCTGGACCTCGACGGCCTGTGCTCGAATTTGGTTTGCTTTCCGTCGCCCTTGTCAACGGCGGGCGGATCGGCCTCCTGCTGTGGTTGCCGCTCCTTGTGTTTCAGTGCCGCGCTGGACTACGGGCCCCGCGTTCGCTCGCTGGGCCTCGAGGGCTTTTGCCTCGAGCGGGTGAGCGCGAGCCTCGCGCGCGCTCCGTGCCGCGTGGCGGGCGCGCCGCCCGCCTCCTCTTGGGCCTGCCGGTGCTGGTCCCGCGACCTTGGCGGCTGCAAGGCGGCTCTGGGCCCTGGTGGCTCCGTGTTTGCAGCAGGCTGAGGTCCCGGGGCTGGCATCTGCGGGCCTTCGGCCCGCGGCCCGTCCAACCGCCTCTCGGCTTCTGCTCGCTCGCTCGCCCTTCTCGCTCCTCCTCCTCCTCCTCCTCCTGCTCCTGCTCCTGCTCTTCCTCCTCCTCCTCCTCCTCCTCCTCCTCCTTCCTCTTCGGCATTGTCCTTCCCGCCTGTCCTGCCCTCCCTCGCCCTCGTGGGCCCTGGGCGCCCCCCCGCCTCTCTGGGGTGTGAGACCTTCGTCGCTTCCGGGGGCGCAAAGGCAGTCGCGTC